AAAATCCTGTATGGTGAGGGTTACGCGTTTCGGACTTCGTTCCCTGTTTCGGAGAGGGTTAGGCCCCGATTTCCTGGGCTCCTCTCAACCAGTGTGTCTCGATCGACGCACTCAGAAGGCACTGCCCCCCTCGATATCAAGGGGTACTAAGAGGGTGTCGTCTGGCGAGCAGGATCCTCTCCGAGGAGTGGAATCCCTCGCTCCAGGGGCTGTCCTCGTGGTAATGTTGAGCACTGCTCCCCTTTCATGAAAGGGTTACCTGGAATGGGAATAGTATTCCTCCGCGAGGAGAAACGGAGGTGCCACTTTCATGAGAGGCTTGAGCTCGCTGTCTTTCCAGAAAGACCTTGAACCAGCTGCATCAGTAGGATTGGGCCGTCCTCCGCCTCCCTGATGCGCTGGCGATGTGGCTAGCCTGCAGTATGCTACCCCTCTGATTTTTAATCATGCTGCTGGTTGGGGGCCCCCCTCTCGGTGAGAGGTGGGTTGGGCTCCCCCAGCTAGAATGAGCTACTGCCAGCCGGGGAAAACCCGGCATTAGTAAGAGTCGAGCCCCCTGGGCGTCTGAGGACCAGGCACACGGATCACGACGAGGCGTTCCCCATAGCAACCCCTAGAGGACACAGTGTCTCGTTCCCCTCAGGGAACCATGGTTACATAAGTAACCCGAGACGTACTTCACTTTAAGTAATAAATGGAAAGCAAGATAAATTGAAATATTTTTATTTTCTTGCTGATCCGAAAAATGATCCGATCCGTGGGTCAAAAACCATAATGTGATCCGAACCGTGAGATTTGTGATTCGTTGAACCACTAGTAACACATAGAGCACAGTGTTACTTTTGGCAGTTCTCTGTCTTCAGACTGTTTCAGTCTCTATCCAAGGAGGACTTTAATATCATGAAATATGCATGAAATGCATGGGAATACAGCAGAGTTATACAGACTGAAACATATTGATGTGACAGAATAAATTAAGGTTTATCATTTCCTAGCAACTATATAAGTAAATTCATATTTCATTTGTGGCCTGGAAGATGCATTGTATACTGCATAATTTTCCTCATCATAAAAAGTGAATTTTAGGACATGGAAAGTGGAAAGGGATATGCATAATAAACTTTACACATGAGCAATTCAATTCCAGTTGTGTTATAATGTACATAGTACATAAAATGCATGATTTTAGGTCACAAATAGAAAACTGACATCTGTTTAATATAATTTTCACATATGAAGACGCACAGTGGCTTATGCTACAAGCTGTGCTGTTGACGACTGAACTAAAAAAACACCAGTCTAAGTGTCACAAATTGATGTAACTGTCTTTGCTAGTGAATGTCGATATTGGTGTGAACTAGCGATCTCATTGCATGGATTGAGTGTTGCTGTTATACATGTGTCCATAGGGGGCGCTGGTCACAGCTTGTGCAGATGACACGTTGCATCTCTGGAACTTGCGACAGCGTCGTCCGGCTATCCTACACTCTCTCAAATTCAGCAGAGAGCGGTGAGTATTGCTTATATTCAGTACACAACTGTGTACGCTATTTTTCAGGAATGCACAGGCATGTGCACAGAGCACACATAATATGTCAAGTCAAAAATGAACTTTCCAAGGATTTCATAAAAAAAAAAAAAAAAAAAAAAAAAAAAAATATATATATATATATAAAACTTGAGGAGAAGTTGCTGACTGCCCAAGGCTGCAGAGCATTGGTCAGAATGAATATGTGATAAAGTAAACACAGACAGCTCAAGGCTGCAGAGTGAAGCCAAGACTCAATATTTTAAAATGTTGTAGCCCCTGTATTCTCTCTTCTGGTTTGTTTCTGATCAAGTAGTGAGGATTTTCTTCTCATAAAATGCAATGGGCACAGTACAGTATTTATTAAATAAAAAGATAAATCCATCATAAACAATATAGTATTATCCTTACTATGTTACCCTACATGAAGCATTAGCATTTTTGTTGTGCATGTATAATATACATTTATACATAATAGACTGTATTTTAATTTATAATATTTGAAAATTAATGTATCGTTATTTATATAATTATTTTATATATAAAATATGTACTTTTTAATGCTTATTCTTATCAGTATGTGGGTGTTAGGGTCTTTGTTATTTATGTTTGTTAAATATATGTATGTTATTATATGTAATATATAAAATATAATTTTATGTATAGAATAAGCACTTTATGTTAAAAGGTTTCCGTAAGTGTTTGTTGGAGCAGCCTTAAAGGTACCAACCTATTTTAGTAGTAAATATGTCAACACTGAAATAGAAAATTGAATTTGTTAAACATTTAATGGAATCTTTAACCACTGACCATAACTTAGTATTTTAAGCCCTCATTTAATTTTCTTATGACAACTCTTCCCCAGCTTCTCAAACGGTGCACTATTCACGCAATGGAAACTGACCCACTAGGTATGACTAATGTGGCTTTTGTAACTCTGTTTCCCTTGTTGAATGAGTCAGGGTCGGCTCTAATAAATGTCGCTCTGATTCAGAGCTGTGAATTGTGACAGTTGCGTTATGGGTAATGGCCTCTTGGTGTTGTATAGGAGTGTAGAAAACTTTCAGGAAGTTTTAACAGAGATACTGATGTGTTCTGTACAGACAGAGAGACCTTGAGTGAGTTGAAGAAAAAGCCAAGAACAGCTTTTCTTTATTTTTTGGTTGATTCCTTTACTACCTAATCACTTGCTGGGTAAAAGGACCTTATCCAAATGTGGCTTCTTATCACTGCATTGATTGCCGTGGAAAAGGAAAGAAATAATAATAGAAGAAAATGTTTTTTTTTGTGAATGTGTGATATTTGAGAGAGCGTGACCTGACTTACACTTAAGCGAATTTCATTTGATAGCAGATACTGTAGATGATGAATACTCAGGATGAATCTTTAGCATTCTAGCAGCATGATCATTTTAGTCTGATTTTAACAGTTTGTATGTCACATTTTAGCTTTAACTAAAGCTTTAACTTTAACTTTAGCTTTTAGCAATGTAAGTTGTTTTGTGAGCATAACAATGCAATGAGGAATCCTTGAGGCAAAACAGCTAAATGACTAAATGCTCCATGACATTAGTACAGAAGATGCCAAACTAAGATTCAATATGTTGTCTGTGCACATTTGTGTAAAGTTGTGCACTCCTATATGCATTAGCATCTTTATAACATCCAGTGAATTATTTTTTTCAGACTAATGGAGATTTTTTCCTCATGGAGTAATGAAATATTTAGATTTGAATGCATTTGGTTATTTAGTGGATCGCAAAGTGAAAGAGAGAAGCTAAAAATTATGTTCACATGCAACCAAGCGATCCATTAGTAATCAGGGCTCAATCAGACTGAAAAGCCTTCATGTAAACACCTCAGGCGATCCGATTAAGTTCGATTCAAATTAAATTTCGATCAGATTGAAATCTTACCAATCGATTGAAATCTTACCAACCCCAAGATTTCAAACGGTAGTGTATATGACCAATTTATTTTTTTTTCACACTGTGAAGTTTTTATGATCAATTATAATACTCAGAAACCACATCAGCCACATGGGGCACAAACATTAGATCGGCATCAAACTGAGAAGCCTGATTAATGAGTGTCTAAAAGCATATTGTGTAACAGAACTTAAAATATAACATTATTCAAAATTTGGTTCACACTCATCTAAAGCCTGAAAGCTTAGGAATAGCAATATGAGGTGGTATGCGATAGAGATTTTTATATGCTCTGTGTTTTCTGGGTACGGCTAATAAGCTCTGTTCCCCTCCGTAATAACTGATGATGTGTTCATCACCTCATCAGACCGTCTGGAACAAACAAATAAAGTCATGGTTTCTCCTACCGTGACAGTTTCACACACACATTGACAGGGATTTCTTCTATCTTATGTGTGTGCTTTGACCCTGAAGTATTTTATATTTGGCTTTATTAAAATGATGCACATTCACATGTAATGAGAAATGTTTTCTCAAATCAGTAGGTGCCTGTCTCTGTGTGTGTGAACACGGTTGGGTGCATACTTTTGTGCGCAGCTGTGTCAGATGACAGAGATTTTCAGCTCAGCAGGGTGAGGAGAGAGACTCAGGGGGGCTATAAGACTGATTCAAGACACTCAGCATGCTTGTCTGTCGCAAAAATACAAGACCCTTTCATCGCACAACAGAATTGTGTAGTCCTATGATGTTCTGTTTTAGCTGATCAATTCACATTTGTATCCAAGGCATGTTTGGCCCAAAATATACAGAATGAAAATATGTGCAAGCTTGGTGTCATTCAGGGGTGCTTTTTGAAATATGTCTTAAATATTGACTAAATTTACTTTTAGCAGATATATAGTACTATTAAAAATTTTGGGGTCTTTAAGAATTTTTTTTTTTTTTAATGTTTTTGAAAGACGAGACATCTTATGCTAATTTAACAAGGATGTATTTATTTGATATTTCATAGCATTTTTAAATATTATTAAAATATTATTCTTTTTTTTAATATTTTAAAATATGTCAAATGTAATTTATTCCTCTAATGCAAAGCTGAATTTTCAGCAGCCATTACTCCAGTCTTCAGTGTCACATGGTTTTTCAGAAATCATTCTAAAATGCTGATTTGCTGCTCAAGAAACATTTTTATTATTATCAGTGTTGAAAACTTTTGTTGGGCTGCTTATTATTTTTGTGGAAACTGTACTTTCTGGATTATTTTATTTTTAGAAAGCTAAAAAGAAGAGCATTTTAAAAAGAGCATTCTAAAATAATATAAATCTTTTATAACACTTTTGATCTGTTGAATACCTGGTTCCTGAATAAAAGTGTTCTTTTTCAAAAAACAAAACAAAAAAACATTTACATTACATTTAATCATTTAGCAGGTACTTTTATCCAAAGCGACTTACAAATGAGAACAATAAAAGCAATCAGACGAACGAGAGAGCAACAGTATATAAGTGCTGTGACAAGTCTCAGTTAGTCTAGCACAGAACACATGGCTAGGTTTTTTGTATTTTTTATATAGAATATAACAGAATAGAATAGAATAGGTAGTGCTAGTATTAGTTCGTCAGGTGCTGGCGATAAAGATGTGTCTTTAGACGTTTTTTTAAAAATGGCCAAAGACTCAGCTGTTCGAATTGAGAATAAAATAAAATAAATAAAAACTTTCTGACCCCGAAATTTTAAATGGTAGTTACATACTTAAAATCTTCACTTTCTCTTTTTCTAGCAAACAGACCTGAAAAACAGAAAAATATTAATCCTGCACTACACTGATTTTTTGTCCAATCAGACATATTCACGTCTCTTTTGGCCTGTGTGGTTTTGACCTTGGCTGCCACAGAGGCTTACAACAGGTTAAATTAGTTATCCACAGAAGCAACAAAAGAGCATTTTGGAACAGTTGCTCTCTAAATGCAATTATCAACACGATAATCATTTTCTAATCTGGGTTTTCCATGTGTTGCATTCAGAAACAGAAAACCGCACACTAGCATGGCCAGGTGCTCCATTAGCATTCTAACCCTGACAAGTTTAGTTGTCTGTCCAGCGACTCGCAACCTTCATTTCCAATCACCCCGACTGTCTGAGGACCCCAGGGTGTGAGGGGAGGAAAACATAGAGAGATGTAATGAGTGTGGACAGCAGCGAATTACCGCGTGCTGGTCTTTATTTTCTAGTTAACCTGCTTATTAGGATGATGGATGATGCCACTGGATGGATTTCAGCATGAACAGACCTCAAACAGACCCTGGATATGTGATAGTTTTATTGATCATTTTCATAATTACTCACCAGATACTTCATATTATAAAGAAGTTTTATGTGTTGCATGCGTCATAATGAGCTGTGGTGCTAAAGTGGATGATACACATTTGAATTGTTCTTGCAACAGTTCCCATTCATATTTCTTCCTGTTGTGCTCATTATTCACAAAAAAATAAGGATGTTTCCAAACCTTCAGTCCCTCCATTTTTTTTGACAGATTATCTTGCCCCAAACTCACAGCACTGGTTGATGTTAGAGAGCCACAGTTAACCACATATAATATTTAATGAATGAAACATAATATGTCATGTTCAGCATTAAGAATAAGAACCTCAGTTTTAATGCTAAGCGCTGTTTACATGTGTACAGTAGAAATATGTGGCATGTTATTAGACACATTCCCTGGAGAGTTTCTGTTGTGACAGTACTAGAGATAAATCAGAGTGCTAACAGACAGCCTAATTTCGTAATTATTTCACAATTAACAGTGAGCATCAGGCAAATATAATCGTACTCTTTCTTTTAACCTTGTAATGACACTGCAGAGACAGCAGCATGCTATGAAAATAAACACACATAAACACACCAGCATGGGGAAATGATTTTACGTCATATGGTTTGCTGGAATAGAGAACACAGGGTTGAACGGTCTAGATTGCATCATTAGGAATAAGAAACATAGTTAAAACACTTGCAAAAATATAAGAGTCTCCTCTCATCTCATTCATGTCTCATTAACTCTAGTTTGTCTTGGGGTAATCATGTTCCAATTAATTGCGTCCCAAAATACACACAAGTGTACCCAAGAGGGGCTGACGTTTGACTGGCATGAGCCCTAGAGCAAAGCCAAACCAGGCAACACCATGAACAAGTGTGATAAGTGTTACTTCCAACTGCAATGAATCACTGCCTCTGAACAGGAATGACTCCAAGAAATTAGACTGCAAGGTTTGGGCTCTGATTTAAAAAAAAAGCAATGAATCAAATTTATTTCAAGATTAAATAATCATATTATTCGCAATTAATCATAATGTTTATCAATGCTTGCTGACAGAAACCACACATTCTTTTAAAAAAGATGAATTATAGTAAATTGACAGCTCTTGTTTACGTTAGTTTAATTTTGTCTTCACAGAAATAATAAGCAATTTTGATGTTTGCATGGTGTTTTGTTAGGAAGAGTTACTTTACAAACCTGTCAGGTTTATAAAGTAACTCGCATCAAAAGGAAATGTTTGGTATTACATGAATGTTTACCTGGACTATTTTGCACATGCACATTATAAGCAAGTTACACAACAGATTTAAAGGGAAGCAAACTCAGACCACCTGCAGTGACGGAATTTGTGCACAGCATTCATGTATTAAAAACACTCTATGAGACCATTGAAATGAGCATGAAAGCATGAAAATATTCTATCATTAGGCCCATGCATGCTTGTATAATAGTCGAAAGACAAAACAGAGCACCTCCCCTTCACTTTGAAGCCCACACTGCATGCAGATCATATATTTATTTCATTCAGTTGAAGCCTTTTTCCAGTTTAATAATCACACAAGGCCATATTGTGATTCCGATTTTAATTAACAGTTCAACTCTAGTTCAAAAGATGAGCACGGACATGTTGAAAAATGTTTAAGTTTAAGCAGAACTTTAAACTTACACACACATAATTTGGCTCTTGATTAGCTTTTTTCATGGTTAACTATTTAACTACATTCTGGTAATGAATGTATGTACAATAATTTACATTCTCATGGGATTTTGTAATTATATCTGCAGCTTTCTGAAGAAAATGTTGACTGCTATGTAATTGGATAAAATATGATCTGCACATGAATAAAAACGTATATGAAGTATATTAGTTAGAATGGTCATTATTGGCTTGCTGGTTCTATATAGTGAAATATTAATTACATAATTTAATATGATGCTGACATATCCTGTGTTAATTCTTCTCTCCTTCTCTCTTTCACATATATGATTCCTCTTCTTTTCATCTCTCTTTTAGGATAACATTTTGTCATCTTCCGTTTCAAAGTAAGTGGCTTTACGTGGGGACAGAGCGTGGAAATACACACATAGTGAACATCGAATCCTTCATTTTGTCTGGATATGTCATCATGTGGAACAAGGCCATAGAACTGTGAGTATAAGCGTATGTATATAATTAATTTTATTTTAATTTCAAAGTCAATGCTGCTAACATGACTAATAAATAGCCAATTAATAGAATGCCAGAGCACCCACGCAATCAAATGAAACATGCATCTAATAAAGATGATGATGTGCTACTAAGTCATCTGGAAAATGAAACAATTATAAATGCAGTTATAAATGTACATTTGCAATAATTCACCTAAAATAAGAATTCTGTCATTATTTACTGTCATCATTTATATATAAGATTTCTGGTTATTTTTTAACTTGTTAATTGAATTATGCCTTCCAGAGTTCATGCATATATTTACATTTACATTACATGTACACCTTACATTACACTCAAATGATTTATTTTTCACTTTTTGCTTTCCCTGAGAATTGAACCCATGACCTTAGTGTTGCTTATATCATGCTCTACTGTTTAAGTGTATATATATATATATATATATATATATATATATACACAGTGGTGTGAAAAAGTGTTGGCCCCCTTCCTGATTTCTTATTTTTTTGCATGTTTGTCACACTTTTATGTTTCAGATCATCAAACAAAGATAACACAAGTAAACACAACATGCAGTTTTTAAATGAAGGTTTTTATTATTAAGGGAAAACAAAATCCAAAACTACATGGCCCTGTGTGAAAAAGTGTTTGTCCCCTAAACCTAATAACTGGTTGGGCCACCCTTAGCAGCAACAACTGCAATCAAGCGTTTGCGATAACTTGCAATGAGTCTGTTACAGCGCTGTGGAGGAATTTTGGTCCACTCATCTATGCAGAATTGTTGTAATTCAGCCACATTGGAGGGTTTTCGAGCATGAACCGCCTTTTTAAGGTCATGCCACAGCATCTCAATAGGATTCAGGTCAGGACTTTGACTAGGCCACTCCAAAGTCTTCATTTTGTTTTTCTTCAGCCATTCAGAGGTGGACTTGCTGGTGTGTTTTGGATCATCGTCCTGCTGCCAACGTTGACATCAGCAAACCGCTCACCCACACAATGCCATACACGCCGTCTGCCATCTGCCCTGTACAGTGAAAACCAGGATTCATTCGTGACGAGAACACCTCTCCAAAGTGCCAGACGCCATCAAATGTGAGCATTTGCCCACTCAAGTCGGTTACGACGACGAACTGCAGTCAGATCGAGACCCCGATGAAGACGACGAGCATGCAGATGAGCTTCCCTGAGACGGTTTCTGACAGTTTGTGCAGAAATTCTTTGGTTATGCAAACCGATTGTTGCAGCAGCTGGTCTCAGACGATCCTGGAGGTGAAGATGCTGGATGTGGAGGTCCTGACCTGGTGTGGTTACACGTGGTTTGCGGTTGTGAGGCCGGTTGGATGTACTGCCAAATTCTCTGAAACGTCTTTGGAGATGGCTTATGGTAGAGAAATGAACATTCAATTCACGGGCAACAGCTCTGGTGGACATTCTTGCAGTCAGCATGCCAATTGCACGCTCCCTCAAAACGTGCAACATCTGTGGCATTGTGCTGTGTGATAAAACTGCACATTTTAGAGTGGCCTTTTATTTTGGCCAACCTAAGGCATACCTGTGCACTAATCATGCTGTCTAATCAGCATCTTGATATGCCACACCTGTGAGGTGGATGGATTATCTCGGCAAAGGAGAAGTGGTCACTAACACAGATTTAGACAGATTTGTGAACAATATTTAAGAGAAATAGGCCTTTTGTGTACATAGAAAAAGTCTTAGATCTTTGAGTTCAGCTCATGAAAAATGGGGGCAAAAACAAGTGTGTTGCGTTTATAATTTTGTTCAGTGTATATACAGTATATAGTTCAGTCATGAAACTGTGTCATGGCACATTCTGACGGGGTGTTAACGTAATATTCAGAGAGTTAAACGACTTGGCACAGTCTGATTGGTTCATGCTGCATATGCAGCCAATGAGCTTACTGCCTTGCATTTATATGGCTGACTAGCATTCACTAGAGATTCCTGCAGCGCTCTTTCAGAGTTCTCTGAAACCCTCCACCTTCCCCAGCTCCACCTGTATAGATCTGCTACGGGGTTATTTTATATGCTATTTATGCAGCAGCAGTATGTCTTAAATACTCATGGCACCGTATCGCCATATGCATTGGCAGTAGCAAGTTCTTGTACTTGCTTGCAGCAGAAGCAATAATCTACAACTACAGCAATAACCAACAGCAGCAAGTCAGCAGCAGCGTAGCAGATCTGGTCCGCCAAGACCAAATACATTAACATTGTCATATCCATCACCATGCTAAAATGTTCTGAGAGTTGTCATGATTGAAATATATATACAGTATACACACACATTTTTTTAATTTTACATTTATGCATTTAGCAATTCGTCAAAGAGCCAAAAGTATGCAAAATATGTAATGCCAGACTTATTAGGCAACTAGATTAGGAAACAAGCTTTAATTTTAGTTTTATTTTTTGACTAAATGAGGGTAAATAATGACAACATTTTCTATTTTGTGAACTATTTCTTTAAAAATAACTTGTATTGGGTTCTTGAGATAGCAGTATGCCTCTTTAGAAATAAAACATTTCTTACAGTACATCAAAATTCCTTCAGATCATTGTATAGGTTCTAAGTATCATTGCTGTGGAAAAGTGAAGTCTAGTTTCTTTGAAACATCAGTACATGTTTTCCAAAGAACCACAGAAGTGCCTCAAGATACATTTTTTTCATTTCATATTTTAAGAGTCACAATGAAATCATCACCAAACTGATTGTCAGACTCTCCATAGATCTAAAGACTTTGATCCGTTGTGTGTAACTTAAACACATGTCACAAAATCCACAACAACAACAAATGCAAACCACATCCTGGCTGAAGAATAAATAAGTTATCACATTTTAACATTTCAAAACCCAGAAGATCAGTTTTATCTGTCTGTCTACAGTTACACACACTGAAACACACAAACAACCATTGGTTTGCACACATCTATGGCACTTTTCATGAATAAACGTGTAAGTTAACACCAACACCTCACTCCCATGACTGATAATCTGACAAAAGCAAATGTCAATCAAGTCTCCTTCTACACAAGAGGCTCTTGGTGGCATCCCGACTGACAGACATTAACATTAGTAGTGAGTAACCGTGAATGCATTTCTGAAGGACATGTAGATCCCCTGTCGCCTACTTGTAACCCACTACAAGTCCTTTACCCAAATCCCCTCACCTCCTCAAGTAGCTCAGTGACACATTGAGTGTGTGCTAGTATATCTGTATTTTACGAATGAGAGAACTTGATCCTAGTGTTTGATTATTCTGAAGTGCTATTTAAAGGTTCTTGATGGTAAAGGCACCATTTTCTGGCTTTTATTTAAATTTTTATATACTTCTGCACAGAAGTGGTTTAATCATGTGAATTAGTACATATTGTTGCAGTTATGTAAAGGGACTGTTCTGGGTTATTTAAGCAATGAGGTATTGTGAATATGGTGAATATGAGTAACAGGCTTTGTTAGTATGGTAAAATTACCATAATTATGTACTATATTCATATGTTTTTTTATTTCATATGATTCTACATAATACTCTAATGCAGAGTATGTGAGTGGTGCAGAGTGGAAGGGGACTGGGGAGCAGTGTTGCATGTTTTTGCCTGAATCAATAAGTGTTTATGTGTGTCTGTTTTTATTTTATTAATTTTTTAAAGCATCGATGTATTCTCTCGCTCCAAGATCACTCTAATATCTAATATCCCACGATACATGTGTCAGACACAGTTTTAGTAGACTATTAGCATTCAGATTGAAAAAATAATGAAGTTTAATATGTAATATTGTTAAATACGTGTTATGTAATATTGTTAAAAATGTGTTATTTATTATTATTTTATTACTATTTGTAGTCAGAACAAATATAGGGTACAACGGGGCTAAAGGCACCTCGTGGTAAAAGGTACCTTTGATATTATTTTCATCTAAACCACTATATGGCACAAAAACGTGGCGTAGCACTTTTCAAAACATTCGCTTTTCAGGATGCACGTGTATATTTGCCTGATCCTTGACGCGATCAGCACAAAGTTGATTCTTTGCTTAATTGATCTAATATTTTAAATTTTTTTAAAATGTTGTAGATTTAAGTAGCAAATGAGAATAACTAAAATGAATGCATATATTTTAAGACAAAGGTCTCCTTTACGATTTTCAGTTCCCTTTCAGTCAGTCACGTTCGACGTTACGTCAGTGACTGACGAATTGGTATCTCGCCTGAGAGCCCAATCACCTTCGAGTGTTCACAAAACAAGCCAATGAATGTTGGCATGCAAGCTTTGCATCGTGCACCCCGCCCCGCAGCACGGGTATATAAGGAGAGCGTGCAGTCGCACATTCAGCTTTTCGCCGAGGAGCCGAGCGTTTCTCACGATTCTGCTCTGCAATCATCGTTCGAGTGTGTAAGCAACAAACCAGGTGAAAGCTCTCTAGAGAGCGTTGGTGTGATGGCACGCCAGCGGTGGTCGCTACTGAAAGAGCTTTTCTCTGCATTGTGCACGCTGCAGACTTATCAAACAGTCCTGCATGCCATACAGTGACTGTTCCCCTGTGTGCTTCAGCGCTAAAATGTCTGCACTATGTTTGTACTTTCTTCTGCACTGGAAGCTCCTGTCGTTAAGTCAAATTCCTTGTGTGTGTAAACATACTTGGTAATAAACCTCTTCTGATTCTGATTCTAAAAGAGCTTTTTCCTTAAAAGAGCTAGAGGACGGCAAGCATCTTTTTGAAGACGCCTCTCTGTCCGTGCATTTCTGGATGCGGTCCACATCTGACTGCCACGATCGCTGTCTCGCATGCCTGGTCTTAAGCATGCTGAGACTGCATTCATGGGTGGTTTATATTCGCGTGGAACATGACCACTTTGACACGCCGGTCGCGACTCTCCTTTTCTGTAAAGGCTGAGTCCCCTTTCCTGTTGCCCAACTGCTGCTGTGTGTAAAAGCACAGCCACAGGTCTGCGTGACAC